GAGGACAAAACCTTGAATTGAAGTTATTTTAAAGTTATTTAAATAAGTAATAAACCAGTTTCATCTTGTGTTGCAGGTTCCTCAGAGTGACGCGGCTTTGAACTACAGCTAACTGATGAATACATTTAGAATTTAAACTGGCCCTGCTTTTTAGGGTTTTAGTGCATGTAAATGGTCTGCTATGGCTAAAATCCATGTGTTCCTCCAGAGGGAGTTTCCCTCTCACGATTCCATTGGCTAGAACTCCGACACATTGTACGTGATAGGCTAAGGGGCGGGACATCTCGCAGTTGACCAATGACAACAGAGCCATTGTTTTTCGTCTTTTTTATATGACTCAGTACTTATTTTCATCTGTCTGTTTCACAATATCTCTCAATAAAAAAAGAAAATACTTAAATAAAAAACAACTTTTATGTAATAAAACACTTTAAAGGTGGGGTAGGTAAGTTTGAGAAACCGGCTCGAGATACACTTGTTATATTCCATGGAATGCTCTTAACATCCCGATAGCAATGAATATCTGAAGTGCTTTGACAAAAAATCCATAAAAAAATGTCATCTGTGGAAGCCGTAGTACTGTAAAAAGCACGACCAATCATCTGAGCCGGCCCGGCTAAAATAATTGGATGGCCTACCTGCCTGTCAGCCTTCCATCTGTGCACAAACTTATCTCGTGCCCTCATTGGTCATGTGCGCGTTCGTGTGTGTTGGAGGAGGGGCTCTGTAAGGAAGTGGCAGATTTTCTCCGGTTGTGTATTTTCAAATTCTAGCGATCTCGAGCTGGTTTCTCAAACTTACCTACCCCACCTTTAATAATATCGGGATATATTTGATTCATGTCCTCGTGTTATATATTTCCATCACAGTGTGTTACAGCACTTCACGTCTTCACTCCCCCAGCTGTGAGCAGTATTAACACATTAACACCCCCCCCCCCCTCTCTGTGAGAGTGAGAGGACAGAGTGAGAGGAGAGAGAGTGATGAGAGAGAGTGAGTGAAAGAAGAGAGAGGAGAGAGAGAAAGGAGAGAGAGAGAGGGTGAGGCGTCTGGATGAAGAAAGCCTCACCCCCGATCAATGGCTGCTCCTGAAGCGTGGGATACAGGCAAGTGCGAGAGAGGAAAATCAATCGATGGAGACCCCTGCAGCCCCCCCCCCCCTCAGAGAAAAGGCCCCCGGTCAGGGCTGCAGACAGAAACTGGGCCACGATGCAGAGCTGAGGGTCAACATGAGGGTCAACATGAGGGTCAACATGAGGGTCAACATGAGGCTCCGCTGGCCGGACACTTGTGAGACCGTTCGTCCTCCTGCAGACTGAGAGTTCACTGCAGGCATTTAGCAGTCCCACACAGAACACATCCTCTCAGGGTCCTTCAGATGGAGCTTCACTGTGTCTTTACAGGGATCCCTTTTAGCATTAGCATGTTAGCACTTCCTGTTCCCTCTTTCAATGGCTTTCTGAATGTGTTTTTGGTCGTTGGCCTGAAGTAAGGTCTGTTTGAAAGTAACGCCAAGGGACCCTGACATCACGTGAACACAGGACGAGTTGGGAGTGAGAGTGTGTTGCTGTGGTTCACTCAAGCTGAAGAGATGTTTGTTCTACGACTTACAATACGTCAGTCAATACTCCACTGGTGGATTTAAAAACGACGGTTGTTTCACTAAGAAGTGTCTAAATGAGACGAATACACATCATAACGTTTGAAATACCTAATATATTTGTACGTATTTGTCTTTATTTGTAATCTATTATGTTCTTCTCTATGTTTAATAAGTACGCTAACTCTTTATCATTGAATGCCTTTTCTCCCTGCCGTGCCACTTTTTGCTGTAAATGATGTTTAGTATTCTTTTGAGCAACGGCGGTCACTTCCCACACGCTCTGTACTGTTATACTGAATTATATTTGTTTTAAGTAACATAAATCTTCTTTCTATCGCATCTCGTGTTTGATAAATGTAATATTTCTTTAGTGCACATGTCGCTGTTACAGTCATGGTGAAATTCCACAAAGCATGTACAGGGTATATGCAGGAATCCTGAAGTCAGATGTAATAACTCTTAAGACCTTTTTTAAGACCCTTTCCATACATTTTAAGACCTCATCGCCACTTGGAGTTCTAACCGGTTACCTTGGCGACACACTTTACCTCACATTGACTATATACAGTATTGATTGTCCTTCCTCCTTATCTTCCAACCATTTGGACGCAGACTTGCATTTCCCCATAACGATGTTGTTTAACAACCGGTGTAAACGGACCTTCGCGCGCTATCAAGCAGTGAGCGTGCGATGTCCTGTTCAGATGACGTCAAACCCAACGGGAAGCCATAAATAAACTACACAGAATCACACTACACAAAATGCCGTTTAATACTTTTTAATAGCCTTAATTTTCGCTAAATTGATTTATCAACTTTTAATACTTTTTACAACCCCGCGGACACCCTGATGACTGAAACACATCCTGCCGCTTTGCTTTGAGCTACCTGTCCTTTCTTTAAATCTGCAATTGAAGCACTGGAACAAATGAGTTTTTAAAGAGGGATGAGATAGTGGACTTATTGTGTTAAATAGGCCTACTACACGTTACCTTCAAGAATGAACAAGAACTGTTGGTGGTGAACAAGACAGATCTATGCTCTACAATAGTCAGGTTAAACGAGCTCATAGCAAGCGCTGAGTGGAGGTTTTGTTGATTCATTAAGAGAGAAAAACCTCAAGACTAAATGTAAAATAAAGTACCTTCAAGATGAGAGATTTTTCATATTTCCTTGAGTTGTGATTTTTGCTCCAAGGCATCAAAAAGTCTCTTAATTGTTTTCACTATTCACGCTTTACTTAATTTGTCTATAAAAGCTTGAGTATTAATAAGCAGGAGGATTTTCACTGAAAGAAATCCAAGGTTATTTAAAAGATGGCATCTCATTTGCAGTCTGAATAACACATAGAACATTATGAATGACTTAAAGGTTCATTCCTCTCAAAGATCAACATATTTCGTTTTTTAATCAAATTTTATTTTTAAAAAAGAGCTGATTTTATGCAGAATTTGTCAAAAAGTCTTACTAAAAAAAGTAAAAAGTAAATCTTACTGTTTGACATTTTTGTTACGATTCTCCATTTTCTCGTATCTTTATCACAATTACACGACATGATTAAATCAATAAGAAACACAAAAAGGCAGTTATTTTATTATAATGATATGAAAATGACGTAAATGAATTTTTAAACATTTTAATTAGTTGTGTTTTATGGTTAAATAATCCTTTATTTCACCGTGTCTCCTGAAAGTCAACCAATTTATTTATGTATTCATTGTTTTAAAATAAGAAGCTGCTGTTCTGTGCTTTTAGATGTCATAATAGATCATTAAATAATCAATGTTGAGTGGACTGAATTGAGTTTAAATAGTACGATCGAATGTTGGAATAAAACAGCGATCTGAGTTCCTCTGAGCTCAGAAACACGAGGGGAAACGCGTAAAGAATACACAATTAGTCTTGGAAACAGTGATTATTTTTTAAAGATGTACCCACAGAAACTATGTGTAAAGTAAGAGTATATAACCGTCTCTCTGCTCACATCAACATGTCTTTGCGTCTTCTTCATCAGAACATGTGAGGAAACATGAAACACGTGATCGCTGTGACCCGACGTGTTGTGTTCACTTCTTCTCCTCAGAGTAAAATGTCAGCTGTCTTTTAAAGCATTTAAAGTCTGGGGGACAAATAAATAACATTTCCCGTTTGTTTTCTTCTTCTCTTAATTAATAAAAGCGTATATTTATTCCTGTGTCAATGCGCCTCTTGTTGGATTTTATTTCTCTGACGTGCGAGGAGTTCTTTTGACGGTCTTGGATTATGTGGAAGGGTTTTATTTATCAGAGATGCTCCTGTGTCAGTGTGTGGATCAAAATAAAAAAAACAGCATCAGATAACGGCGCGAGTGGAGAAAAGTGATAGAAGACAAAAGGATGACACCTTCCCGCAGGTGAGTTCATAATGAACAGAAACACATGAAGAAGAGACTCACAGGGAGGGTAACACTGACCCCTTGTGGAGGCTTTCAGAACTGCAGACAACCATTTCGTCCCATTGATTTTATCTCCCTGTAGTGCCGGGGGGTCAAAGAACATTTCGTCAGCTTGATGGTAGTTACAAATCAGCCCGGGACTCTCGACCGGCACACCTCGGTACCGCTAGTAATTTGTAAACGGGGGTGGGGGGCGGTGCTTGACTTATCCGACCGGCCCACATCAGTACCGGCCCATCGGGATTCGTCCCGGTTGTAACTTTCAATCTCAATCTTTATTTATGTATATAGGCAGCACTTTTAAAACAACCTCAGTTGACCATAGGGCTGTACAGGGAACAAATATAGAATAACACAATAGGAGTAAAATAATAAAACAATAATTAAAAACATGATAAAAAGCACAATAACTGGAAACATATAAAAACACATACAAATATCAAAATGTTATGTTCAACTAGTATTAAAAGACTATATACCCTCCTGGGAACCGAGGGGATTTTTTTTTTTTCCAATCTTCTTTATTTTTTATTTCCTACCTATTTAGGGTTAAGAAAAACATCTTGCAATTTAGACTTTTTTAATTTAATTAGATTTTTAAATGTTACAGTATGCCCACTGTAGAGGACGTCGGGACCATTTTAGTTTGAAAAGACAGCCAAAATGAACAGATAGACTATGTAACGTATTATGGTTATAGACTGATATTAATACAAGAATACATTCACTTTTATAACATGAATAAGTAATTGATTTGAACATTGCAGTAGAAGTAGAAGCTGCCATAAGTTAGTCTCTCTGCGTTTGTGCACTGGGCGAATGCTAATGCTAATAATGCTAATGCCAGGATAATAAAATGGCGGCTCTACAAAACATTTCAGAGTTGTACGGGGCGTGGTTTGCAATTCGCCCAGCCAATCAGAACTGGGGCACTTTTTTCCCCCAGGAAAGTACCATCTCTCAGCAGGCACTAAAAATGGGGGTAAAAGTTCCCGAGATTAAGTGCTCTTTTTGGTGTGAACGCGACATAAGGGGTACTAACGGAACTAAACGCGAAAAGTACGGTGAAAAGTACTCCGGTGTGAACGCGGCTAATGTACTGGGAAAAGTACCTCACTGACTCCAGTAGGCACGGGCTGTAGGGTCATCTGGACTAGTTTTATGGATGTGGTCTCCATTTGACCATGCTCATAAAAACAAAGCTTGCATTCCTGAGGCAATTCTCATTTTTCATGGCTCCACTTAAAATAAAAACAACAATAAGACATACGTCTGAAAAGCAGAAGTCTGGGGCAAATGATTGCAAGTCACTTCAGTGCGCACGTCACAAAATGAGATGCATTGTGGGACATGTAGTTAATGGACAACGTGCTTATAAAAATAAGCCGGGGGCCGTTTGACACCCCTGCTGTAGTGTGTCTGTATCAGAGCTGAACAGAGTTTATTGTTAGTTTAAACTGTGTGTGCCGCTGCAGGAGGATGTCAGGAAGGAAAAAGTCAAACAAAAACGTAATAGGAAACATCTAAACATTTAACATAATAACTCTTCTCTTATAGCCTACCAAAACTACCATCACTGCTCTACTGTCGAGCTTGACAAGGAACATTGAAAACACTAATATCAATCAATTTTGTTAAAGTTTTTAAACCTCACTTTTCTCAAAATGTGTTTGTTGCTGGATCGTTCCTTCACTGGGATGTTTGAGCTTCACCGCGCAGTACGATATATTTGCACAGTTGGTTTGTGTTTACGGGGGAAACTTTCTCTGCCTCACCTGAAGTCTGTCTAAAATATAAATGTACGGGGAGCATTTATAAAATGACTACTAGTTTGGAGCCAAACATGGTCCAGTATGTGGTGTCTTCCAATTAATCTCTTGAAATAAAATGTGTGCATGCTGCTGGACTTTTCAAAGTGAGTCAGAGTGTCTTTTTTTAAGAATCTGTAACTAGTTAATTAAACCTACATTCTGACATTCAGGTCTTTCTCTGTTGTTTCAACTTCAAAAAGAAAAGTGGACACACACACTTCTTTGCATCATACATTTTTGGTTTTCAAATGTGGTTCTGCTGCCACCTTCTGGTAGAAAGTAAGAACTACACAATTTACAGGAAGAACTGCACAACTTGTTCATCTGAGAGTAAAAATTAAAAAGTATGTTTTATACAATAAAAAATAAAAGTAATGCATCAGTTGTCTTGTATACTGTCAGTCATGGTACTCTGAAAAGAAAACGCTCTTAAATTAACACTCTTAAATTAAACCGGGTGATTGGGGTGTCAAACTCAAGGCCCGTGGGCCAAATCCGGCCTGTGACTTCATTTTATGTGGCCCCACAAGAGCCTGCAAAGAATATAATATGTTTATTATACAGTTACGTTACATGACGATTTACAGAAGCACGTTGCCCATAAACTACATGTCCCACAATGCATCTCAAATTTTTCTCCGAATTTGCCTTTTTTTCTTCAAAATATGCCTATTTTCTTAGAATGTACCTTTCTCTCATAATGTTACTTTTTTTTCAAAATGTTACTTTTTTTTCAAAATGTTACTTTTTTTTCAAAATTTCACTTTTTTCTTCAAAATTTCACTTTTTTCCAGAATTTGGCTTTTCTTTTAAAAATCATTTTGTGACATTCTCACTGAAGAGACTTGCAATTATTTGCCCTTGACTTCTGCTTTCAGACGTAGTTAATTATGAAGTTATTACCCTATCTGATAATAATCCAATGCAGAGGGAATAATGTAATATAATACATTATTATATGTCTATAGAGTGCCGCAGTGACGCGTCCTAAAACCCGGAAGAAAACTCCTTCTGGTTCCCTCGACAAAAAGCAATGCAATTTCTCCATGGGATTTTGGAAAATAGCTGAGTTGAGACACAAAGAGACGGATCACGTTTTGTTCAGTCGGATAATAGCCATATGTCTACCCTACTTTTATAATTTTCGGATCATAAATCCATCGATCATAAATCTATCGATTAGATTTATGATGAGATGATACTTCCGGGTTTTAGGACGCGTCACTGTGGCACTCTATTATATATTTATATATGTATATTTATATAGTCTTAAAGTTACAACCGGCCCTTTGAGTGCAGCCATAATGTTAATGTGGCCCATGATGACATTTAGTTTGACCCCCCTGGTCTGAGTGAACTTCTTAAGGCATTAACAATGTTTAAATCTAAATGAACCTTTAATAAATCCCAGGATGAAAAACCTCTGATGGATGACGGGCAGGTCTGACGTTCAGCTCAATGAAATCAATAAGATAATTCAACATTTGATCGGCCAATCAAAGGATAGAGTTAAAATCTCACCATCATGTGACCACATCCTCAGACTGTTTGTACTTCCTGTATTCAACCAGCAGGGGGAGCTGTCTGCACAGACTTTAAAGGAGAGTGACACTTATACCTCTTTTCTTCAGATGAAAGGACTGGCATAAGGTGAGAGACACATGTGGGGTCTGTCTTTAACTCAAGTGAAAGATTATATTGGTCGTGCTGAAGTAAAACATCAAATATCAGAGGGTCAAATCTGTTACGAAAACACATATTTTTATGTTTGTAATCGCTTACAAATAGTGTTTTCATTGGGCTTTGTTAGGACTGACAAATCCACCCATTCAGAACGATATGACTTTGAATGCAGTTTCTCTATTTGTCTTTGGAAGAGGGTTTCATAAAATGCTTTTGTGTGACTGAACTCGTGCTCTCTACAGATGGAGTACGGACATGTTGAAAGCCTTAAAACCGGACCATTTCTTTATGAAGAAAACAAAGATTTAGACCTTGCTATTGGCCAAAGGAAAAGCAAACTCATCTCTGGACCAGTGTTTATACCAAACATCATGTACTTTTCCCCCTGAGTGACCTTGCAATGAGCATGATGCTGTCATGACTCAGCGTTATGGCTCTCCACACGTCGTGGCTCTGTCTTTCTTGAATCAGTTATGGAGACAAGATGAAGCCACGGTCAAACTAGCTCAAACAACAGACACAAGGCGACAATTCACTTGGTTGGACAGAAAAACTCACATAAAAAACCGTTGTGTGAGACGTTGTCCTTCACTATTCACACATACATGGACTCAAAGTCATCCTTCTGTTTCCTAAACTAAGAACCAGAGGATTAAAAGGGAGGAGGAGGAATTTGGTTTCAAATGAACAATAACTGGAAATAACTCGAGTGGATGGCACAGTCTTAAAGAACGATGTGTTTTCAGCGATATGATGACCGACGGAGCGCCTCTGTTTACTGAAGGTTGTAATTCATTAGTGCGGCGGCTCACATCTTTATTTGGGGTTTTTCTTACAGTTATCTCTCTTAACGTGGACAGTCTTTAACACCTGGCCTGTTGCTGTTTGGAGACGTGTTTGAAATGAAAACAGTAACTCTTTCCTGCCGATATCAAATGAATCTGTTGACCTGGTTACATATCCTAATTCTGGGAAGTGAAAAGAAAAGTGGTTTAAAGGTCAGAGATGGGTTCAGGTTACAGTAAAACAGGAACAGGTGTTGTCTGGGGATTCAAAATGGATGAAAGAGAAAGAGGAAAGGAATATAGAAAGGTTAGAAAAGTGTCTAAAGAACTATATTTTCATAGGAAGACAATGTGAGGATTTGGTGAGGGGTATCTCCAAACATCTGGAACAAATACCAGAAACCTGCAGGTCCGCTGCAACTCTGACTACTTTTCAATCCAGGCTGAAGACTTTTCTCTTTTGCCGCTGCTTTTAATTGAACTATTCACATCTCACACGGCACTGTAACTTTAATTCATGTTCCTGTTATTCATGTTTTATTATCTTTGCTTTTTAATGTTTATAATGTGTTTTATGCTCTTAATGTCTGTCATTGTTGTAAAGCACTTTCAAATGCCTTGTGTTGCAAAGTGCTATATATAAACTCGCCTTGCCTTCATTTATCTTGGATTCAAACAGACTGTGGGCATTTCTCCAGTAGTCGCCCCTGTACAGGACCCTGTGACGCCCCCCCCCCAGACTCACCCGCTGTGCTTCATGTTGGGGGGTTTGTCCATGCGGACGGCCAGCTTGATCTTCAGCTCTGAGTCCTGGCTGCTCTTAGGGACGACCATCCGGTGAAACTCTGCCTGCTTCGGACTGTTGGTGGTGGGGTTCATCACCACCTGAGGGGGGGGGGGGAGACTGTTGTTATTGGCATGGCAATGAATATTTATCATTAGGAAAAGTCAAATGAGTTGTAGATCAAACATGTGTTGGGTGGGAAACGGGAATAGATCAGGATGAATGGGAAATGTCTCTCTAGCTGTTAGAAGGGAAACTAGTGTCCTGGTTAACCAGTTACACGTAGGAGCTGATCCAAAGACATGTTTTCATGTGATTTTAATTGATTTTTGACGCAGCAATTTCTTTGGTTTTATCTCTAATCTACGTTAGCTTGGTTTTCTTTACTGTTATCGTGTTTTTCTCTTTAATGAAATGAGAGGTCAATTACAGCTTCTGGACCTCTTCTCACCCATTTCCTATTCGTTTCATTATCACGATTTTACGCAAACAAATATTATTTTGAAAGAAATGTCAAATGCACCAACGATGACTAAGCATTTATCTATTTATCATTTTCTATCAAGAAAAAAACGCACACACACACACACACACACACACACACACACACACACACACACACACACACACACACACACACACACACACAACACACACACCACACACACACACACCACACACACACACACACACACACACACACACACACACACACACCACACACACACACACACACACACACACACACCACACACACACACACACACACACACACACACACACACACACACACACACACACACACACACACACACACACACACACACACACAAGACACACACACACACACACACCACACACACACCTCAACAGTCACTTATTTTTAATATGACACGAAGATATAGACGTATACAACTTCATTGTTTGTTTGTGTGTTGTGTTTTGTGTGTGTGTGTGTGTTGTGACACTCATTTGACCACCTCCAACATCATGTTTGAACTTTCTGACATGAGGGCCTTACCGTCCAATCAGAGTCAGTCTGGATTAAAGGGTTAAACTGCTGCAAGGAGGTTTCAGCCAATCATCTACAGATTTCATAAACGCCTCTTTGATTCTGATCTGTTCTATATTTTATATTTTAATAATGATCCTTTAGTCGCCCACTATAGGTTTTAGTGCATGTCAATGGTCTGCAAATCCCTGTTTCCTCCAGAGGGAGAATATCTGCTCTTTAAGAAGTTTCACCTTCATCCAAAACGCTTTTTTACTTTTAATGACGTTTTCATTTGAAGTTCTTCCTCCTCGCTGTGAGCCGACCGCTGATAGTGATTCATATCAGATGAATGCGGCCCTTAAGAAAAGCTGTGTATTTATACTGAGCTGCTGTGGTGTTAACTCTGACTGAGTCGTGCTGCAGAGCCAACGAGTCAACGAGTCAACGAGATGGAGAGGGACTGTTCACACCGTCATGTTGGTCTACATGTACAAATATGACTCAGCAGTTAATGAGTTTATTATTCAGGAACATAGAAAGAACAAAGACGTGTTTTAAGAAATAAATCATTGTTTTTAAAGTTCAAGATTGTATTTCATATAAAGGGATTGTGGCCATTTGTAATGAGATAAGAAACACCTAACTATTCCTTTCATTCATAAATATGGCACTTATGTATTGTCAATAAATACAATACCATTTTTAGTTTTGATATCTATATATCTTATAACATATATATTATTATTATAATTTAGTATCTCTTGCCTCACCTCTGCTTTGGTCATAAATAACACAACATCATTTGCACGGTGTGTTTTGCACCTAAAGCAGTCAGATTAAGCCTGTGTGTGTGTGCGTGTGTGCGTGTGTGCGTGTGTGCGTGTGTGCGTGTGTGCTGTGTGTGTGCTGTGTGTGTGTGTGTGTGTGTGTTACCCGGCCCAGCTCCTTGTCCTCCAGAGCCAGGACCCCGGTGCTCTCTGTGAACAGCTTCACTTTGACGGAGGGAAGGGGGTGTGTGGTGGTGAAGTCTCCCTGAGTCCCCCACCTGAAACACACACACACACACACACACTTTACACACTGTGACTTGTTATTGATCTTAACGTTAATCACACTGCACAGGACTTTCTGCACAGACAGGAATGTTTTTTGTTAAATGAAAGTTCCAATAAAGTCTGTTCAAAAAGCACAATCATGTTGAAAATGTGAGAAAGAGAATATTTCTTTGTGCAATTATTTAACAAACTCAAAGAGAGTAAGGTTATTTATTTTCAGGTTATTTTTGTAATATGTATTTCATCTTTTGTTTTCTCGTTCTTTTCCCTATTGCTGTTTGTGAAGCTACTGCAAAGTAATGTAAATACTGTGACATTTTATATTTGCAGGCTCTACAACCCAAAGACACTTTATCACTTTGTGTAAAAGCATCTAACAAGTGACATGTAATGTAATCTTATTCCTCAATGCATTTCCTCTGACATAACGGACTGCAAAGTTAACTTAAAGTCACCCTGAAACTCTCTCAGTTCCTGTAATGATATCATCACATCATGTGTTAGTCACAGATCCAGAGTCAGCATCATCACTGTCACACACACACTCTGATGGAGCGGGGAGACATTACACAACCCCATCATACACATGCCCTCACAACTGTCATTTAAGTGTGTGTGTGAGTGTGTGTGAGTGTGTATGTGTTGCAAAAATGACAGTGACCCCCTTCACTTGTTGAGGGCGAGAATCAAAGCCACGCTCTATATTCAGTTCCCCTAGTTTCCCAAGGCAACATTATGCGAGAAAAGGGACACACACACACACACACACACACACACACCACACACACACACACCACACACACACACACATACACACACACACACACACACACACACACACACACACACACACACAACACACACACACACACCACCACACACACACACACACATCACACACACACACACACACACACACACACACACACACACACACACACCACACACACCACACACACACAATCACACACACACGACACACACACACCACACAACCACACACACACACACACACACATCACACACACACAACACACACACAACACCACAACACACCACCACACACACACACACACACACATCACACACAAACACTACACACACACACACACACACACACAGTCACTACACACACAACACCTACACACACACACGTGTGTTCCCGGACCTGAGACTAACAGTTTAAACGCTACAAATAACGTGACGTTCTTTATTTCACCGTTTCATTTTCCTCGTGTCTGTCATGGGGCAGAAACCTGACCCTGAGCGATACCAAACATTAGCACCCAAATGCAGGCAACAAACAACAGTAATCTCAGGCTGCTGCCTGATTCTGTTTGGCCTGACTACAGTGAAACTGTTTATTTCACACCCCAGCTTGCAGCCTGTGACATCTACTCATGCTATCCTACATCAAATAATAGTGTTGTGAACAAATCTTGATAGAAATGTCATTCTTCACAGGCCCATGAATATATTTTCCTTGGCTGTGCTTCTCACTGTATGACTCCTGTGTGTAAATAATATGTATGCCTTTTTATTGCTTTTGACATTTTCATTTCCATGCATGCAGTCCACATATTCAGTACAATAAATATATTTCATTTTTTAGCTTAGTTAGGTTTTTGTACTCGTTATGAACATTTAAAACTCAAACACATTTAAAAATGTATAAATAAACAATAATAAGTCATTACTTTTGAAATAATGGCTGCGCTGCTTTTTATACCTACTCTTTTAATTGTGTTATTTTGTTAAATTCTGATTAAATGTATTAACTGAAAAATTAAGGAAAGAATCATAATAACGTATATTATTTAACTTGCGCTTCACATTCTCCACGGCACATTTACATTGCCTTATTTTGTAGCTAGATAAAGAGCTAAAGTTAGCTAACTAGCTTATGGGGACAGGTAGCTAACGTTAGCTTACTTTTAATGTAGATAGCTGGAGTTCGCTAGCTAGCTTGTTAGATTGGTAGCTAACGTTAGCTAGCTTTTAATGTAGATAGCTGGAGTTCGCTAGCTAGCTTGTTAGATTGGTGGCTAACGTTAGCTAACTTTTTAAGTAGATAGCTAATGTTCCCTAGTTAGATTGGTAGATTGGTAGCTAACGTTAGCTAGCTTTTAATGTAGATAGCTAATGTTCGCTAGCTAGCTTGTTAGATTGGTGGCTAACGTTAGCTAGCTTTTAATGTAGATAGCTAATGTTCCCTAGTTAGTCTGAAGAACTAACACATATGCATTTGAACCTAAAGTGGGAAAAGGGGCGGGGCTAAATACAGTTACAAATATTCAGAAAAGGTCCCAAAAAAAAGAAATACACACTTGTGTAAAAACAAGCAGTAACATATTGTTAATTCTCTTATTTTTTATATCGTTATGGGACAATTTAGTATATTCTCATTTTTTTTTTTTAACTATTCCATTATTAAAGTGATTAATTTCATTTCATTTGAAACTGAAATCCTGGGTGTCTTCCTGTATTCTCAGACCTTTATCATCAGCTAGTGTTTGTCTCTGAGATACATTGGTACATAAAGTATAAAAGTGGTTGTGTTTTGTTTTAAAATGTGTTTACAATCCAAACCATGGGGCTACATTTGAAATGAACGAGTCTTACATCATTTTCTGGAAGAAGGAAAATTAGTGTTGTGCTCTGCAGCAGGTGAGAAAAGATCTACAAACTACATTAACACTTAATTTATAATCATAATCCTTTGTGCACCTCATTTTCATCATGCAGGGAAGAAAACGTATGGAAATTATAATCAGGGGTGCGGTTGATTTGTGATAAACATGAGGAAACATTGCGTCCTTTAACGTCCACAGAGGCTTGAGCATTCTGAGATAATTAAGGGTGTTGCTAATGAAAAGGTCCTCGGTGATTAAACAACTGCAGGAGTCATCAGAGCGATCGGACGGCGCTGTAATCACAGCTAATCACGTCAGTGTAATTATAGTTAACCTCCACGCTGTCATTAAGAGAGCAGATTGAAGAAGATAATTACACTGAAGGTTAAAGTGGAGCTGGGTTACAGCAGAGAGGTCGTCAGGTGGCGCTGAGAGAAGGTGATTGGCTGTTTGGAGGGCAGAGGGCAGTCAGACGTTACAAAAACAAACAAAAAAAAACCCGACCAGTAGCATGGGAAAGGGCAGCCTCACTAACAAGGACAGGGATTACTGTTATATGATTATGTAGATAGATTACAATAATTACATGAAAAAAAAAAAGGCGTAATCAGAATACTGGAACTGGTTTTCTAGCAGAATTACAGGATTTAGAAATATTATTATTTAATGTATTACTAGTGGTTCCTAGAGTCTCCAAAAATACAATCTTCTGTGGAACCAGCTCCCAGTTTGTGTTGAGGAAGCAGACACCCTCTCCATATTTAAGAGTAAGACTTTCCCGTCTGATAAAGCTTATATTAAAAGGGCTGGTATACAATCTCACAGTCTGCAGTGTCCAAGGAAGGTGTTAAAGGTCCCATGTCATGGCCATTTTCTACTGATCATAAATCCATTGTTGAGGTCTACTAGAATACATTTATATTGTGCAATTTTCCAAACTCACATTGGTTTCTCATACAGCATCTCTGTATAGTATGTGTATTCACTCTCTGTCCTAAACGGCTTGTTGGAGCTCCTGCCCCCCCCCCTTCCCTATGAGCCCAGTGGCCGTCGGCGAGACAGCGAGACACCGCGGAACCCAGCCCGAACACACACACTCACCCGCAGCCTGGCTGGGAGTTTGTGTGTGTGCTCAGGCTGAGTTCCGCGGTGTCTCGCTGTCTCGCCGACCCCACACCAGTGAGCCAGCTCACAGTGTCCCGCTCTTCGCAGCAGCGAGCCTCGCAACGTCCCGCCGAGTGTCTGTGTGTGTGAGGAAGTCCGCGGATTGGTCCAAACGTAACAGCTCCGCGGACGTAACATAACGGCTCCGCAGATTGCTCCAATCCGTTACGTTACGTCACTATACCCAAATACGTCACTATACCCAAGAAGTAAACAATGGAAAGAGAGAAATCTCCAACGAGGCGTTCTGGGGCAGCATAGACAGGTCTTTTCTGTGTTAGAGTTTTACTCCCTACAGGGTATACTTTGAGGGTTTGTGACTCTGCAGACCGTTTACATGCAGAAAAACCTTCATAACACACAAGGGGACGGGGTAGTAACCAGAAAAGCATGACATGGGACCTTTACATGCTGTAAACACTTTAAAGCCCCCTGAGACAACTGTGTCATTTGTGATATTGGGCTATATAAAAGATTATGATTTGATTAAGACAATATATACAACATTAGAACACTTTTTTTTCTAAATGCAGTATGTAGTCACCTGATTTGCTTAACACGAATAGAGTAATGCTTTACATTTTTGTCTTAAAGTAAAACAGCATTTGTAAACTATGCTTTTCTGTAGGCCTACATTATATCTTAAGCCTGTATCTGCTGGTCTTCCTCTGTTAGAAAGTTCAGTATGTGGACAACCGTATACAACCTGGGTCTTGTTGGAAACAATAAGTGAAAACTGAGAATAAAAAATAAAAACAGAGAGAGTTGAAGGGGAAACAAAACTGTTTTCCTGAAGTCAGAGGTAATGCAGACAATATGTATTATAATGTTACCTTCCTTTGTTAGTGGGATGTATTTTATTTTTCATAGTTCTAATATTTCCCCTCGTCATTCGCACAAAATAACTGGTGTTGTGGGGGCCTTGATGTATTCTCCTCTCTTTTGATTACCAACATCAATCCATGTTTCTTGTGGAGTTGAACACGAGTATTACAGCTGTAACTCATGTCCTTGTTCATGTATTATTAACATGGTGGCTGTGGTAGGAAAACATGAAGGAACACTGAGTAAAGGCAGAGCTGTGGTGAGTGGGTTCACAGTGAAATGTTCCTGAAGTTACATTACATAGTCTCTATCACACTAATAATACACTTAGTGTCAACACCTAAATATCTGTTTCCAACTGTAGTCTGACGATGCCTCCACCAATTATTTCTGTCGTCTTTAAGAGTCAACACACTGTTTTTTGCAGGAAAATAAACTACGATGTCAGCCGATTTAGAACGAATACACCTTCTTTGGCACACGAAGTCCCCCCAAATGCATCTCATTGGATCGATTTTCAACAGAGAAGGTGTTGTGTGGACCGAGACGACTGGAGATCCTGATCTAGTATTGTTCTGTCCCCAGAGTCAGACTAAACACGGAGACATTCAGTCATTCTGCCCCATATATCTGAAACAAACGACCATGAAAGTGCACGTCTCAGGGCTGAAGACTTTTCTTTTTGCCACTGCCTTTTAACAAAGTATATAACGGCCTTAAGAGACTTACTTTAATGTATTTTCTCAACCCTTCAAACATGAGCTATACAAACAGAAGTGTCTGTATAGAATATGTCTGCATCACATAAGGCCAGGCAAGTTTATTTATACGGCACAAGGCAATTCAAAGTGCTTTACAAAAATGAAAGACATTAATAGCATTTAAGAAACATATAAGAAATGATATCTAAAAACACTAATTTAAAAGCAAAGATACATGAATCACAGTTACAGTGCAGTGTGAGATACCACATCTGAACGAACCCCCCCTTTGGAAAATTATAATCTGACCCCATGATACCTTTTAGTTTCGCTGAAACTATTCCTCTTTTTTATTTTTTAAATGCACATAGTTAAGTTTAAGTTGTCTTTTTCTAGGACTTTTTGGTATCCTCCGTGAACCAGGGTCTTGAAACCAAACGGCACACGTAGGGGACTTTAACCCCAATAATGACTTTAACTACCCTACTCAACACAAGGCAATTCAAAGTGCTTTACACAAATGAAAGACATTAAGAAAATGGCATTAAAAAGCAAAGATAATAAAAGTTACAGTGCAGTTTAAGATATTAATATATCAATTAAAAGCAGCGGCAAAAAGAAAGTATTCAGCCTGGATTTAAAAGTAGTCAGAGTTGCAGCGGACCTGCAGGGGTTTCTGGGAGTTTGTTCCAGATATTTGGAGCATAATAACTGAATGCTGCTTTACCATGTTTAGTTCTGACTCTGGGGACAGAAAGCTGACCAGTCCCTGAAGACCTGAGAGATCTGGATGGTTCATAATTTAGGCAGCAGATCAGACATGTATTTTGGGCCTAAACCATTCAAAGCTTTATAAACCAGCAGCAGTATTTTGAAATCTATTCTTTGACACACAGGAAGCCAGTGTAAAGCCTTCAGAACAGGAGTGATGTGATCCACTTTCTTAGTGTTAGTGAGGACTCGAGCAGCGGCGTTCGAATTAGCTGCAGCTTTCTAATAGATTTTTTAGTGAGACCTGTAAAGACAACCATTGCAGTAATCGAGTCTACTGAAGATAAAAGCATGGACAAGTTTTTCCAAATCCTGCTGTGACCATTAGTCTTTTAATCCTAGATATGTTCTTTAGGTGATAGTAGGCTGATTTAGTAATTGTTTTAATGTGACTGTTGAAACTCAGGTCAGAGTCCATGACTACACCTAGATTTCTGGGCTTCATCTGTTGTTTTGAACATTGCAGACTGAAGCTCAGCGCTAACTTTTATACGTTCTGCCTTGGCTCCAAAACCATTACCTCAGTTTTATCTTTGTTTAATTGGAGAAAGTTCTGACACATCCAGTCATTGATTTGTTCAATGCACTTACTCAGTGTTTGAATTGGAGCATAATCTCCTGGTGAAATGGTTATGTAAATGTGGGGTGTCATCCGCATAGCTATGGTAACTTCTTTTGTTGTTTTTCATTATCTGAGCCAGTGGTAGCATGTAGATGTTAAAGAGAAGAGGCCCCAAGATGGAGCCTTGATGAACCCCACGTCATATTTGTCAACTCAGATGTGTATTTACCTATAGAAACAACGTTGTTTCTGTCCTTTAAGTAGGACTCAAACCAATTTAGAACTGTTGATGAAAGTCCCACCCAGTTTTCTAGTCGGTCTAGTAATATGTTGTGGTCAACAGTGTCAAACGCAGCACTGAGATCTAATAATACTAACACTGAAGTTCTGCCACTGTCTGTGTTTAAGTGGATGTCATTGAAGACCTTTACAAGAGCAGTCTCAGTGCTGTGGTTTGGACGAAATCCTGACTGGAACACATCGAAACAGTTATTTAAATGCAAGAAATTACTCAACTGTTGAAAAACAACTTTTTCAATGATTTTACCTAGAAATGGCAGGTTTGATATTGGCCTGTAATTGTTCATTACTGAGGCGTCTAGATTATGCTTTTTTAAGAGCGGTTTAATGACTGCAGTTTTCAGGGCCTGTGGAAAAACACCTGAGTGAAGAGACTTGTTTACTATATGAAGTAGATCTGAGGCCATGCAAGGAAAAACATCTTTTAAAAATCCTGTTGGAATAATATCAAGGCAGCAGGAGGAGGATTTCAGAAGTTGAATAATGTCCTCTAGGTTTTTTTAATCTGATGGAATTGTGTCATGGTGTTTGAATTGATATTAGGTTGACATAGGGACAAAACATTTGCTGTACCTGATGTAGAGGCACTGACTGCTTGTCTGATTTTCTGAATTTTGTCAGTGAAGAAGGAGGCAAAATCATTGCACGCCCTGGTGGATAGAAATTCAGAGGCTACTGACACTGGGGGGTTAGTTAGTCTGTCAACGGTAGCAAACAAGTAACGTGCATTGTTTTTGTTTTTGGTAATGATGTCAGAGAAGAAAGACTGTCGTGCAATTTTCAATTCCAAATTATAAAGGCCAAGTCTCTCTTTATAAGATTTAAAAAAAGAACCTGGAGATTTGTTTTTCGCCACCTGCGTTCAGCTTTTCGACACTCTCTTTTGTCTGTTCTCACGGTCATGGCCTTTCTCCATGGAGATATTTCTTGCTAATCACTTCCTTTACCTTAGTTGGAGCAATGGCATCTATAATCTTTTTAATTTTTGAATTAAAATGATCTACTAGCTCATTTACTGAGATGTTAGTAGGGGCAAGTGTGGATGAAAAATTCTGAGTAAAAATATTTTCAGTTAAATATCGCTTTGTGGTTACTTCTTTTTCAAAATGTTTGTGAACAGAGATAAAGCTCTCAATTCAGACCCTTTGAGATAATTAAGTCCAGAGTGTGCCCCTTATTGTGCGTGGGCTCCGCCACATGCTGAGTCAGTCCATAGTTATCAAGAACACAAAACAGTTCTTTAGCCCCTCTGTCCTGGGGGTTGTCAACATGGATGTTAAAATCACCAACAATGACTAAACGTCAAAGTCAATACACACTATAGACAGCAGTTCAGTAAAATCATCAAAAAAGCTTGCACAGTATTTGGGTGGTCTATAGATATTTAGGAACAGAGCTCGAGAGGAGCATTTCAGCTGAAGGGCCACATATTCAAAAGAAGCAAAGTCCCCATAAGATGTCTTCTTGCATTGAAGGGAATCATTGAACAAAATACTAGCAACTCCACCCCCTTTCTTATGCATTCTTTCCTGACTCATAAAACTAAAGTTGGGAGGGGTTGATTCGATAAGAACAGCTGCACTGTTATTTTGTTCAATCCAATTTTTCCGTTAAAAACATAAAATCGAGATTGTGCTCAGTGATAAAATCATTGATTAAAATTGTTTTTCCTGGCAAAGACCTGACATTTAATAAAGCTAGTTTAAGTTTGTTGAATACACTATCAGCAAGATTTTTTGTGACAAGCTGTGGCTGACATGGAATCACTTCTAAATTTGATAAACTCACACAAACTTTGAGCGCTTCCTGTTTCTAAGCTGATTCCTCACCGCTCTCAATCTATTACCTATCAACACAGATATCGGCAAAGCTACTGGCAGGCAGGGCCCCGGCATGTGCTGGGAAGAGTTGAGAGTGCCATATACGCCCTTGAGCCTGGACCCAGCACATATCAGTAAGAGTTTGCTGCGTTTTGTACACACACAATCCTTATCAGGCCTTCGGTGACCGCAGATGGTGTCTTGAAGGGGGGGGGGGAGGTGGTTGACATAGGCACGGTAATGATACGCATACCTGGTTTGTTCACACTTTGATTTGAATCAGGAAACCGTGTTAACAGATCTATTCAAAACACACTGAACAATGCTGCCGCTTAAAAATGGTTAAAATGTGTTATACTTGCTGCTTCTCTTGAATGTTTGACCTTGACTGTGCAGAATGGACTAGTGCACAGTTTGTTTTCTCAATAATCTGCTGAGGAGCTTTCTCTGCACTCACCATGAATCCTCAGTGTGTATACAAAAGTGATTTGATGACATGACACCTCTTTTTCTCCATGTGATGACAGCCAAAGCAGGTCTGTAAGTTGGTATCCAGACCCTGTGAATGGATCAGAAACAGTGGGAGGTTTGACCTCACTGCGGTCTGGAGGCCTCCGCCTGGTCCGTCTGCAGCTTCTCCCCCCCCCTCCAACCTCCATGGTGCAGTACACGATGCGGTTTGGGGCCACAGACTTCAGACCCAGAACCTCCACGATCACTATCTGCAAAAACACCAGAGAGGAAACCCACGACGACTCTTTAAAATACATGTTCCCATCTGAACAAACTATCAGCAAACACAATATATTCAGTTAAATGCTGTATGGTAGTTCTAACAATTACAAATTAATAATAGTACCTATTATATGATATTTCAGAATAAAGTGAAAATTACAAACACTTAGAAGGGGTTAACAGGGGTTGTATATGGAATATAGGCTCTTTCTCCACCCCACTACTCTCGTATTTTAAGGTTAATTTATTTGCGAGATAGAGGCAAAACGCACAATGAACAACATTACAAATTCATTGAACTGATAGATTTATTTTTGTTTAAACATTGTAATTAAGGCTTTATTGTGAATTATTTTTTCTACAGAACTAGTTTTCATGAAAATCTAATATGGTGACAGCCTTAAGGTATGAACAAAAAAGGATCAAATGGATCTCTGAAATGTTCAATATGTCATGATTGATGTCTTAAGTGTAATTGATTGCCAAAAATACGAAAACGCACATAAATCCAAGTTAGAGATGAATTTGAATGATGGAAACAATATTTTTGTTATTTTCTTGAGATATTGCGTTACATAATACTACCAGGTTTTTTTTTACCAAGATAATCTATTAGTAAAAATCTGATATTGATACAAAATGGTGGAAATCATGTTCAATATATTTTGCTTTCTAAGGAAACTATTTCAGCTTTCACATGTAATTAAAACATACAACATTGCCATATACAGTAACAAGTACACACACCACACACACACCTCCAGAGTGAAGGACAGCACCACGTCGGACTTGGACAGGACGTCCCCCTCGTCCATGTCCAGGAAGGAGTTGTTCATGTTGGAGCGTTTGAGCTTCTGCTTGAAGTCCGGCCCCCCCTTAGAGACCGGCAGACTCTCCAGGTTGGCCATCAGCAGGTTCACTGAAGACCGCAGCTCCTCCACGAAGAGGGGCTCCATCTCTGAGGAGAGGAACCGGGGGGAACGGACGTCCTGCAGGACACACACACAGGGACACTGTGAACACTCTGCCCCTCCATGTGAGGTCGGCCCAGACCCTAGGGGTTTTTTAAATCTACACTAAAAACACACTTCTTCTCTCTGGCCTTCTAGTTAGAGCGGAGCACGACTCCTGACTTTTCCTTGTGTTTTATTTGTTATATATATCTGTTGTAATTTATTGTCTTTTAGTTGTGATTGTAGTAATGTGTTTTTATTACATGTACAGCACTTTGGCTCGACCAAAAATCGCTTTTAAATGTGCTTTATAAATAAAACTGATTTGATCACACCACACACACACACACCCACACACACACACACACACACACACACACACCAACACACACACACACACACACACACACACACACACACACACACACACACACACACACACACACACACACCACACACACACACACACACACACACACACACACACACACACACACACACACACACACACACACACACACACACACACACACACACACACACACACACACACACACACACACACACACACACACACACACACACACACACACACACACACACACACACAACTCATTAATTCAGTTCACCAGTAGAGTGATGCATGGTTGATTTATATCTGTAGGCCGACCATAATTATATGTATATATCCAAAATGGAGCGAGAGTTACGAAAGCCAATTTCAATATAGTTTTTTAATTCTGATTTTAACAAGTTCATATGTGACGAGTTTATGTTTAATTAATATTAACTCAGTGTGTTCTCACCCTGCCGATCCTCTCGGCCAGCTGCAGCCTTCCCGTCCAGCTCTCTGGGATCTGAGCCGCCTGCTCGTCCACGTTGTCCAGCTGAGAGGAACATCAGAAACACAACGAGTGTCATCAGAGAGCCAAGGGGTCAATACAACAATCAGAGAGGGGGGGGGGGATCCACTCTCAGTAAGTGGATTTAAAGGATGCTCAGTTGTCTATTGATTAACCCAAGGTGGTAACAGGCAACGGTTAATTATCAATCAGGAGTGAGGCGCTGAAATTAGAGGTTTGACAACTTCATCGTTTCTCTGGACCAATGACAGAGCAGACAACCATGTGTACTTTGGAAAAGTTTAGGAGCTAAAGCTTCAGGTGTTTCACTCAAGTTCATCTGAAACAGCAAAAAACACTCTGTTGAAGTTATTTAATATATTTTATAAAACGGACAAGTCAATCAAGCAATCTGATTGGTTCTTAGCCGTGATATAATGAGCGTATATCACGGGTAGAATTGTAGTTACTTTTCACAAGTCATGTATCCCTCCGCGTCTGAGAAAAGCAACAACCGTTACAACTGTTACATTACGTCCGTTACGAAACTAACTAACTAACAAAGCTTAAGATGGAAACATGTAAGGTTAACTTTGACCTCCGGGGGGGTCTTACTATGGAGGAGTGGATTGAGGAGTGCCTATCTCCAGAACAAAAAGCACCTAAACGACGACATGCAGAGCTACGTGAAGAGCAGGTAGACCAACTGGAAAAGTATCACCATTCAAAAGCTTTCTGATGCGGGTCTTGAAACAAAGCAGAGAGATTATGACCGTCAGTGGCCACAGGTGCGAAAGCTCTCTCCAGAGCTACTGGAAGCCCAATCTCTGGGACCGGAGAAAGTGGAGCAATATTCTCGCCACGCCAAGCAACAGCCTAGAACAACCTCAACCTATACAAGTAACCACGTAAGCCATGCTACTGATGCTGGACAGTTTTTCAGTGGCTGCACAATAAACAGCAACATACACATTAATGTAAATAAATAGCCAAATAATGGATCAACGCTCTCTGTCTAATATGTTCGCTAGCTGTTAGTGTTGTTGCACCTCGCACTATGTTTCGTGCAGAAGGCAACGGAGGGACTATTTTATTTTGAACATCATTATTTACTAATAAAAACTATTTAAATTAGAGTGTGTATTTTTCTTTCATATTGCCACACTTGGTAACCGTTTTATAAACGCAATAGCTGACTTCAGGCTGTGATATATGGTCATTATATCACAGCTAAGGGGCGTGGTTCGGCCCGACGCAAAGCGGAGGGTCGACAACCCCCTTATACCACGGCCCTGTCGTGAGCTATTGCTTAAATATAATATTGAAGTGAAGGGAAAAACTCTAAACTTCTTTAACACTGTCTCAGTAGTTCATTTGACTTTATGACTGGACAGATATTCATAAAATCCTTTGTGAGGTTGTAGGGCTTTTTGAACATTAATGCATGGAAATATGTCACAGTAGAGACACAAACATAGAAAAATCAACCTGAAAATGAGCAGAATATGTCCTCTTTAACTAAGTAAAGTCAAATCTAAGTAGTGTGTGTTTAAGTTAAAACAACATATTTTTTATTACGTCTTTTTAACCTTTTCTAGGCGACAGTGCCCAGACGTAGACAACCTGGGCGTGGCTGAATCAGACACTTATGTTCAACAATTATTTGTATGTCATGTTGGGAAAGCCTTGGACCTCAGATTTGTATTGCCAAAACTCAGCTGTAGCTACTGTGCAAATCACAATCAAACTTAGAAATGGTTATGGTTCTTGGTTTGGGCGGCCCTTTATCAGACTGTATGAGCGGCTATATGTTCATTAATTAAAACGTTATGAATAGATTCATGTGAGAGGAGAGGATGGTGTGTTTCACTTGATGTCAGCGAGACTCAAAGAGGAGATGAAAGCAGAGGGAAACTTGACGAGGTTTGCTGAGTGTGCAGAAAACAGCGCCTCGTTTCACAAATCAGTAACGAACAGAGGCGTCGCAAAGTAAAATCTGAGATAAAGCAGCTCTGATGGAAATAGTCTCGAAGCCAAAGAGACAAGTGGGACCATCAGAGGAGATAACAGGAGGACAGATAAGCTGTTTAATTTCAGCCTGTTTTTAAAACGGGGAGCAGAAAATCAGTTAGAAATCAGCCGTCTCAGTTTCAGAGGACGTGGAGAGAAAACGCTGAGCAGCACATTCTGAAATAAAAATCAAACTGAGCTACAGAAGAACAGTTTTGTGGAAGTATGTTCCAAAAATTCATTTATAAAGAAGTGCTTGTTTATGTACGTACTTTGTAAAGTTGAAACAACTGTCTTTGTTGTTGGAACTTACCTAAAATGTTTTATGGTCTTATTTTAACAATGTGATCACATGACTCCTTCTGATGTTACTGCAGATCTGCTGTAAGCTAGCTAGCTAACGTAGCTAACCTAGTCATTTACAGATTTACTGACAAACACTGACAGTTACAGTATGAGACGACTAACTCTGAGACGGAGACAGTTGTTCAGCCTTATTATCCTGAACGTCACCAAGCGTCCCAGCTGTGTGCGTCACTTTTTAGTGTCCCTGGTTTCTTAGCTGTGTGCGTCACTCTTTATTGTCCACCTGGTTCTCCCAGCTGTGTGCGTCACTTTTTATTGTCCCCTGGTCTCCCAGCTGTGTGCGTCACTCTTTAGTGTCCCCTGGTCTCCCAGCTGTTGTAAGTCACTTTTTAGTGTCCCTGGTTTCTTAGCTGTGTGCGTCACTCTTTATTGTCCCCTGGTCTCCCAGCTGTGTGCTTCACTTTTTAGTGTGCCCCTGGTTCTCCAGCTGTGTACGTCACTTTTTAGTGTCCCCTGGTCTTCTCCAGCTGTGTGCGTCACTTTTTAGTGTCCCCTGGTCTCCCAGCTGTGTGCGTCACTTTTAGAGGCCTGGTTTCTTAGCTGTGTGCGTCACTCTTTATTGTCACCTGGTCTCCCAGCTGTGTGCGTCACTTTTTATTGTCCCCTGGTCTCCCAGCTGTGTACGTCACTTTTTAGTGTCCCCTGGTCTCCCAGCTGTGTGCGTCACTTTTTAGTGTCCCTGGTCTCTTAGCTGTGTGCGTCACTCTTTAGTGTCCCCTGGTCTCCCAGCTGTGTGCGTCACTTTTTAGTGTCCCCTGGTCTCTTAGCTGTGTGCGTCACTCTTTAGTGTCCCCTGGTCTCCCAGCTGTGTGCGTCACTTTTTAGTGTCCCTGGTCTCCCAGCTGTGTGCGTCACTCTTTAGTGTCCCCTGGTCTCCCAGCTGTGTGCGTCACTCTTTTAGTGTCCCCTGGTCTCCCAGCTGTGTGCGTCACTCTTTAGTGTCCCTGGTCTCTTAGCTGTGTGCGTCACTCTTTAGTGTCCCCTGGTCTCCCAGCTGTGTGCGTCACTTTTTAGTGTCCCCTGGTCTCCCAGCTGTGTGCGTCACTTTTTATTGTCCCCTGGTCTCCCAGCTGTGTAAGTCACTTTTTTAGTGTCCCCCTGGTCTCCCAGCTGTGTGCGTCACTCTTTAGTGTCCCCTGGTCTCCAGCTGTGTGCGTCACTCTTTAGTGTCCCCTGGTCTCCCAACTGTGTGCGTCACTCTTTAGTGTCCCGTGGTCTCCCAGCTATGCGCGTCACTCTTTAGTGTCCCCTGGTCTCCGTTGTCTTTTGAGCTTCTTCAGCGTTTTGTAATCTGCAGCTTTTTAGTAAACGCTGCGCATGTTTCCTCAAGTTGCTGAATGTTTTCGAAATGCTGCATGTGTTGCTGAAGATAGTTTCTACGTGTGCATGTTGTAAAGGGGAGTTTGAGATTTTATTTGTAGCATCTGACAGCAATCAATGACACATTCAGGCCCCGGAGATATTTTAAAAAACAGTTATCTGAAAAGTATTTTGGGTGATAGATAAAAATAATTAGCGTTGCCGTCACCTCTTGTCACCACTTCCTGTCGGGCTGACATCCGCTGCACTAATTGCAGAGGCATGGAGATTTTCACGCCTGATTTGACAGATTTAGTTTCTGCTGACAAAAAGTATCAGAAGTCTGTCGGTGTGGATCCGTGTGCGGAGAGACATTTAGATTTATTCTGCGGGCGTTTCTGATCACTGCCGCCACTAATCAACAACACCGCTTTTTTTGAGGAGGAATACAGGACTTCATTATCAGAGGGATGGAGGGTCGAAATAAACTGCCTCAATATGACATGACAGATGCACTTTAAATGTCTTGTGATGATGTTTTAATTATTCAATGTTTATCTTCTGAAAGGCATTCAGTGTTGATGAGGGTGGTAAGAATAAGGTGTTTATGATTTGAATAATTATTAAGAATCTATAATTTATTTTTTTAAATCATAATTGATGTGAGGTATGGAGTTTGAAAATATGTTATTCAAGACCTTTTGGGATTTTGAAACTTTATAGAGTTTGCCATTTTATTAAAGTTTTGATGCTTTTCTTTAGAGCTTCTGGTGTGTTTGTTGTGTTTGTGATGTGTGTGTGTGTGTGTGTGTGAGATTACTGTACGTGGTCAGGAAGAAACAATGGCTGCTTGTCTTACTCTGCATTCATGCTGGTGTCTCTCATTAATTACACTCGATCCAATTAACAGTCCTGCGATAAACACACCACAGTCTGTGTAATCACAACAGGTTCAACACACACCCACACCATGCATAGCAAAGAAAGAATGTGATGTCATTTTGAGACGCTACCCTGCATATTATTTATTTTTCATTGATTTATTTTATAATATTTATTATCATAATTATTATACATTTATTTTTCTGTCCTTAATTCACACACTTTTTATTTTATTTTATGTTTTAACTGCACATTCTTACGTTAAAGGTGGGGTAGGTAATTTTGGAGAAACCAGCTCGAGTGCGCTAGAATTGAAAAATACACGACCGGAGAAAATCTACCACTTCCTTACAGAGCCCCTCCTCCAACACACACGAACGCACACATGACCAATGAGGGCACGAGATAAGTTTGTGCACAGATGGAAGGCTGACAGGCAGGTAGGCCATCCAGTTACTTAGCCGGGCCGGCTCAGATGATTGGGTCGT